TTTTATGGCTTTCGCAGCTTTGTCTTTCGATAGGCAAAAATGGCCCGCCTTCGTTTTTATGTTTGTCTATAAAAACTGCGTATGGGAAAATAAAAGCCAGGGGCGGGCCTCACTTAACTGCCATCCGGTTGTGGTTAAGAAGTCCTGTCTTGTCGTTGGCACTGCTATGAAATTCTCTTTGGTGGGGCAAAACATTCGGCTTGGAATTGGAAGCGGTTTTGCCATATTGTACTGTGAAATTCTGTTTGAAACCTCAACTTTATTTCCGCTCAATTTTCCCTGCAGTTGCTTTTATCTAGCTTGGCCGAATGAAGCAGTTTTGTTTAATAGAAAATGCAAATCAAATTGGAAACTAGTTTTGAGCTTGCCTCGAAAATAAATCTTGGGAACTCTTTGAAAGTTTCTATGACGTTATATTGTAGTATTGAATTTTCTTTGGTTTTTAGATACAACTAATTCTTTGTAATCATTTTATCAATAAATAATCAAAAAATAATCAGAAAATATAATCAACTTTCTCCCAAAGGCCCCAAGGGTATTAAGAACCTTCCTAGGTTAGTAAGATAGCAAAAATCGATTGCTAATAACTCCTAACACGAAATTTAACCTTTAATGGAAGGCAGGAACACATTGGGTATTGCTTGTCCTTTCTCTGATTACAATCTGGTGCTAAATGTGTGTGCACGTGTGGCACAGAGTCCCAGGGCACTTTGATTGCCCTATAATAAAGCACCTAGTCTAGGACTCGAGTGGCCCATTTGTCTGTGAAAGGGAATATGTGGCAATACCCAAATCAATCCGCACATTAATCAACAGCCTGAGATTAATTAACTGCCCTGCCCTGCTTCAATATGGAGTGCTCCTTTCTGGAGTGTTGTGAATGAATGTCAAACATAATGACACTCATACGCACTGTGGGGCGACAGATGACACGGTGTATCGGATGCCCGCGTCGTGCTCTTCAGGGAATGCCCGTGTTTATTTTTCACTTATGCACAGGAAGAAAAATATGATAATTAGGTGGGTTTTCGCATAAAATATTTCTTAAAAGAAGTTTGAAGTATAATAAAGTTATGGTTTTTCCCCGATTATAGTATAGTTTAAAAATCTATATATATCATATTTGGCAGCTCATGAGAGCAACATTGTTATAAATTTTGATTAAGAGTTTTTCCTTTGTGCACTGCTACCTGCACCAACCACTTCTCCATCCCTTGACACCCCCTTTATGGCGCTTAATGAAGCGTAAACGGTAATTGACAGCTCAAAGCAAAGCTCAGGAGCTGCAGGTGACCTAAAATATTCGACAGTTCGACAGGCTTTGGCTTTGGAGGTGTGTTCATTAGAAATTCGCAGTCAAGCGTGGCAGGCTGTGTCAGGATGTGTGTTTTTCTGGCCAGGATGTTGTGTGGCACCGTTGCTGCCGGTGCTCATATCATTCCATGCCAGTTAACAAACATAGAGTGAGCACTCTTGTCTGACTACAATGGATGCGAGTGGTGGAGCAGGTGGTTCGTTCTCGTTGTCGAAGGTGTCATAAATTAGGTTTGTCACCTGTACACACACGAGTTCGGCTTGTTGTTGTTGTTGTATGGAGGGGAATGTCCTGTTTTAGTACACGCACACTCTCTCGCTTTCCCCCTTCTTTTTGGGGGGTTCTAAAAACCAACATCTCTCCATCTCTGTTGCGCATTTCCCCAGCCGGGAACGCACAGAAAATAGAAAAGCTTGGCGAGAAGAGAAAGCTTTGTTCCTGAAGTTCAAGCCGGGACCAATGTTTCGGGGAGTGCGCAAGGTCAGTGCAAGCTGGTAAAGGTGAAAGTTGAATCTCTATTTCGGGCTATGATGCTGCACCTGCAACCTGCAGCTGGGAGAGCGGCATAAAAAAGCTCTTTGATCCTGGTTTGTGGGCTGATAACAAAGTTGAGAGCGAGCGAGCGAGCTTTGGCTCGGCACGTAGGTCCTGCTGGCGAGGATATAAAAGGATGCTGGCTGCTGGCGCACTTTCAGTTGGATTCCGAGCGAGGCAGCAGCAGCAGCAGCAGTAGCAGCAGCAGCAGCACTAGCATCAGCAGAAGCGGAAAGTAGCTGAACCAGGAGAGCGCGAACCACCGATAGGAAATGGACAGAGAGCTTGGAAAACTAGCTCAGCCTAGTGTGTGTGAAACCGTAGTGACTGTGCTAGTGTGTGTGTGTTGAAGAAAAGGGAAAAGAACAGAGCTAGTGCCAGGATGCAGGACTAGAACACGACAAGACTGGACTAGAGCAACGTCGACACTCTGATTGACCAGGAGCAGCCAGGAACAGCCGCCGCACTGGCGTCGTTTTGCGAGCGCGGCTTAATGCCCGATTCTATGATGGACATGGAGCATCGTGACCATCAGCTGCACCGTCAACAGCAGCAATCGCACCACCATCAGTCCGGGCGCTTGGCAGCAAGCACCAGTACGTTTGCACCACCTGCGCCGGCCGCAAGTCAATCGGAGGATCGTGAGCGGGATAGAGAAAGGGACCACCATCTACACCACCATCAATCCAACAATGTGGCCTCATCCCCACTGCCTGTGAATGCCTCGATACAGCTGCACCAACAGCAGCAGCAGCAGCAGCAGCAACAACAGCAAACACTGACGCAGTTGCAGCAACCACAGTTGAGGGAACGCGAGCACCACCAACAGCCGCAGCAGCAGCAACTGCTGCAGCAACCACAACAACAGCAGCAGATGCAGCAGCAGCAATTGCCTCACAGTCATCATGCGCTAATGCAGCAATCCCAACAGCAGCAGGCCATCCATCGGGCCGAGGCGCGAAGAGGTGAGCTGATTTTAAAGGTGGCTCTTATATTGAGTGTGCACCGTAGGCTGGCTGAACTTGTTGCTTGGTCTCCAAAGGCCATCTACATATTCGCTATTGCATTTGCCACATCAAAATTTGATTAGAGACGCCACAAATCACAATTCGGATTTTTGTATAAAAACGTATTTCTTTCCTATATATATATATAGACCGAATGTTGTGTATCTGTGCTTAATCAGGTTAGGTGTACACTGTACATAAATGTCTATAAAGTGTATATACTCGAAGCCATTTCATATGCATGCTAATCGCTTCATTAGGGCCTGAAAAGCGTTCAGTCTTCAGTTCTCTCTCGCATTTCCCATGCAAAATTCAATCAGAAATTGCTTTAACTTATGCCAGGACGAAGGACCACCACAACACAGCAACACCACCAGCAGCAACATCATCAGTATGAACAGCAACAGCAACAGAAACAGCAGCAATAGCAGCAGCAGCAGAGGCAGAGGCAGCAGCAACACCAACAGCAACAGCAGCAACATCAAGCTGACCTATTTCCCGAGCAAAGCTTTTTTGCCAGGGGCTGGCGCTCTGACGTATGCGTTGATGTGGTGCGAGGGCGGAGTGGAGGAGTGGGCGTGCGAGCGGTGGGTTGAGCGGGTTGAGTGGGTCGGGTGGTTGAATGGGTGGCTCAGTGGGTTAACGGAGAGCAGCTGGACAGCCGTTGGCTGGTCATTAAAAAATTATGACCACACATTGTTCTCTGAGATTGTACATTAAGGTAAATTCAGCTCTTTTTTTGTGTGTTGGGGTCAACACAAATGGAATAACAGAAACTAAATAGCCAGCAGCCAAAAAAGGAGGCCAAATAAGTGCTTTTTACCGTGGAAAGCTTAAATAATTATCTGCGATCATATCGTTTATAGATACCTGTAGTTGGGATTGCCATAAAATATGGCATTCTTTGGTTTATTTAAAACTGCCAAACGGCAGAAATTAATTAATAGAATTAATGACCTGTGTTGGGGAATATTTTCTGTCCAAATGGCGAGTTAAGTTAGCTTGAATCATGGTTCATGATTCTCTTTACTGTTGGTAATGTTTTCTCTCCCATCCACATATCATCATTTTTCTATTAAATGGAAAAGAGTTATTTTGCAACCTTTTTCTACCACTTTCTACGTCATTTCACTGAGTCAAAAGGCCACTTAAACCTAGCTTAAGGTGATGCAATTAAGGTCAGAAATCCCCTTTCGCCTAATTACAATTTCAGTAGCAACATTTCAGCTCTTCCTCCATCTTTTTATCATTTTTATAGAAGCAATTTAGCTATAAATCTATTAGGTCTGCGGTCACCAGCCTCGGGCGTTACACACAAATCCAGAAATCCTTTCATCTCGTCGTCGTGCAAAACTCTCGGATTGCGCCTGGCACATTCAAATCGCAATTATTCTAAAATCAATTTCAATAAAAGTTTGCTGCGGTACGCCAGGAGTTTGTGAGGTGGGTGAGGAAGTGGCCAGAATGTTTGGCAGCTTGTTGGCTTAGCCAGGCTCTAGGATTCGCCCATCAAAGTTTTCCTTTTTCCAGTGTCGCTTTTCATGTTTTGTCTGTGTGAGTGCAAGTCTATGGGTGTGTATGTATGAGTAAGTGGGTGAGAGCTCGTTAAAAACACTTTGCTGACGTCGCCGTTGCTGGGTGTTGGCATTGTGGCAACTTTTCAATGAACTGTAATTGAAACTGAAATGCAAACTGTGCCGTGCCGCTAATTGCCAGCAGCTGCAGCCCGAAAACCGGTTAACTGGTAACTGAAAACTGGAAGCCAGGAAACCAAAAACCAGAAGGCAAACAAACTGCAACAGCAGCGCGTAAACAGCATTTAAATGTGTGGCATGAATAATTTATGATTTTTCTTGCGTTCGTAGTTAGTTTTTCATTTCGTTCGTAGTTCGTTGAAGCATGCTATTTAACCCAAAAAAGAAAACCCCAAAAAAAAACTGCATGGCATGGAGCAGCTAAGTAGATCTCCCAGGATCTCAGAGCACTCAAAAAAGACGGAAACACAAGAACCAGCTCCCAGAAAAATCTAAAAAAAAAAAGAAAAACAAAAAACAAACACACCAATTGGCTAACTGCTGATCGAGCCGAAAAGCATACCCCCAATTAATTTCTCTCTTATTGTTCGATTTATCGTATTCTTGCAGATACACAAGCAAAACATTCACATGGATTTCTCTATTGTAAGTCGCACCAATTTGGACAATGCCCAAAAAAAATAAAGAAAAATGACAGAAAAAGATCCCCACATCCTACAGCCAAAATCAAACAGAAACATACACAAGACACAAACACAGCTACTTTTTAACCTGTTACAAAATATACTCTACTTTCTATGTGTAACTCTATCGCTAACTGAAATGTACTATCTATGAGTATTTACTGAGATATTTCCTTTTAATGTATGCACACTCCTTGTTTGCTTGTATTTCTATTTCGATTTCCGTCTCCGCCTTTATTTTCTCGATGAGCGCACCTAAGTATGCTACAGTTTTTTCCCATGCTCCCCAAGGGAACAACATTTTGACTTTTACGAGGCGACGAGGGCCCCATCGAAATTATGGCGCGTCTCAAGTATCAATAAGCAAAATGGGCGACTTGTTGCCCCCCCAAAAAAAAGAACGAATATCTCGCACAAAACTTCAATTTTTGGCTAAACTTTAAGTAATACGAGTACTACGTAATGAAGATATGCCTTTTTTTTCTGCTCAGCATTTTTTTCCGACATTCTGTCTGCGATTTTTATATGCGCCATGCGGAGGTCTTTCGTTTAAGGATTTTTTCATTCTTATATTTTTTTTTCTTTTCTGATGCTGAGCGCATTATTCATGTAACAGTCTTGACTTTCCTCCCTGAACAGGGCCCAACGGAAAGCGAGGAAAATACAAAACGAATTTATAGCTTAAGCCTTAATTTGCAGCATTTGCTTTGAGCACTTGATTCCATCCAGCTACGTTACATGTATTTATAAGAAAATTTCTCGTTTTCTCGCCACGTTCTCTCGCAGCGGACGAGGAAATCAGCGATAAGGCATCAACATGCGGAAAATTGCTAATATTTCTCTCCGTGGCTCTTGTGATAATGACGCTACCATTCAGTCTATTCGTCTGCTTCAAGGTAAGTAATGCATTAAATTTCATGCATTTTTAATGGGTTTCTAATTACATTATGTTTTATGAGCAACAGCAAGTGAGAACGGAAAAATTAATATTTATGAAGCTTTAGCTTCGATAGTTTGACCCATGGCTTTTGTTTTAAACAAAATTTAAACCACATTTTATGTTTAACAATAAGTTTTGTTCCATTTAAGCGGATTAAGAGAACTTCTTACACATTTTAAGCTCATTACGGATTAACAGATTTGTTTGCAAATAAAAAGAAAAATGTTAATTTAAGTTAACAAACTCATTAGCAGCAATGAGGTTTTATTTGGTACTTCTTAACATCCTTTAATATAATTTTTATAAAATATATAAAGATTTAATGATAATTTACCTTAATTGCCTTTAATGGTAAACAATTATCATTCCCAGGGTAACTCTAGATTCTATCCCTTGCATTTCCTCAAGTTTCAATTTCATTTCATGAACATTTCACTCACGTGCCACATTTTCCAGGTGGTGCAGGAGTACGAGCGCGCGGTTATCTTCCGTTTGGGTCGTCTTATGCAGGGCGGTGCCAAGGGCCCAGGTGAGTACTCAGCGGTGCAGTTTTACTGGGTGAAAAACAGTGGGTAGGAGTGTGCAGGGAAGCTAAGGGGGTAACGATTCTATGCAAATTTTAGTGCCGCTCGCTGGCGACAAGAATTTGTGTTAATTGCTGCACTTGCTCCAAATTAGCGACTCTGGGGCGCACCTCAGCCTCTGTCCGTGTGCTCTGCTTTTGTGCTCCCATTCCGAGGTAGGAAGAGATTAGGCAAATCGAGGTGAACTTCTCTCACAGTCATGACACTAGTTTGCATAATTTTTGAAGTATTTCCTGGCCACAATGATTTTCTAGAGCAAGATGAAGCACTGAAAATGATGGCTTGTCTTTTGTTGAAAACTAAAATGATCTTGGAACATAGTGGTAGTTAAAGTTAGTTCCTCTTAATATAGGATTTATACCATTATACGGTTCTGCCTATAAAATATTTCATTTATGATACCAGAACGAACTATTTTCTACCTACACTTCATAGTGTTATTCTGTTTTCCCTGTTAGCCAGTGTAGTTTCCTCAGTATCTCGTAACGAGCGTTTAAGCCATCTCGACCATAATTGCAGGTATCTTCTTCATCCTGCCCTGCATTGACTCCTATGCCCGTGTGGACTTACGTACCCGCACCTACGATGTGCCACCGCAGGAGGTAAGTTCCGCCAACAGTTCCGGATGGGACCGAAAAACCAAAAACCAAAAAAAACGCAGTCACAACCTGCAATGGCAGACACATAAGCTGCCATCTTCGATGTTGTTGTTGTTGTTATTAACCACCAGAAGTGGAAATCTTTTTAGTTTATGTTCTTGAAAAAGTCCCCTCCAAACCCACACGACCACATACACATGACAATTTTAAAACGATGCCAACTAAAGCAGAAACCAATTAAACTTTTAGCTTTTGCCACAAGTTATTCCAGCCGACACGTTTGTTAACAACCGTTATATACATAACTATATATATATATAAATTCTTTTTGGTTGCATTTTCTGGTTTTTTGTGTTTTCTTTGACCAAAAATAAAGGATACGAAATAAACACACAGACACACTTATACCCAGTTAAAAAGATACAGATTTTGGCCCTGTTGGCGGAATCCGCAAGAGAAGCTTGGCTGAGCACAGCCGGAATCTGAGTTGTTTTGTGGAAACTGCTGACAGGACACCCACACACATATATACAAAAAGCCACACAAACACCCATTACACACATATACAGATACGTACACTCACAGAGATATAGACACAAGGATACAGGACGCGCAACTGGAGCGTGAATTACGCATACGCAACGTTGTCTTCTCGTTTCTTTGACTTTTCCCCCCCCTCGTTCTTGTTGTCGTCGCATGTCACGGTGTTTACTTTTGGTTTCTACTTTCTTGTTCCATTTCTTTTCGGTTTTGATTTTCTTCCCACTGCAGCCTCTCTCTTTCTCTGTGTCTTCCTGCTATCCCCCTCTATCTATCTCTCTACATACACTCTATATCTATATCTATATCTATATATCTATGTCTATGGCTATCTGTATTTATTAACGTATCTATCTCCACTTCCCAACCAGCTAAGAAACCTCCCTTTCTAACCACTACAAAACAAAAACCAAAACTAAAAAAAAAAAACATCATCAACAGCAAAGTGAAAGAAAACCATTTTTGTAAACCACATTTATAGTTTATTTAATTTTGTTCGTCCCACCATTTCGAGTGGCTGCAGTTCATTTTGTTTTTATCCGAACAAAAAGAAAAAACATAAAAAGAAAGGAAAAAGTGGTTCTAACACCCACAACCGCACACACTTACTAACACACATACTAATACATTGCTCTCTCTACTCTCTCTCGTTGTTGTTGTTGTTGGTAGTCTTGTTGTATCCTATATAAATACCATATATATAAATATATATACTTTAAATACTTTGTATGGTACTTGTTGTCGTATTCAAGTTGAACAATGTTGCAGAATTTTTATTATTATTGCCATTGGTGTGCACTCAACCACACTGCCACAACTCACACACACACACACACACACACTCTTACACAGAGGAAAAAATCACCTGGCCACACACACACACACACTGATACACTGGAGTCTCATCAAGATACGCGCTCCATTTATTTTTGGGAATTTTTCATCCTTTAGTTCGCTTACTTGATCTTTTATCCCAATCAAGCCCAACCCCACGAAAACCCCACCGAAAGAACCCCACACATTTCTCATTTTTACCTGTGCATATTTCATTGTTCGCTTGGCAGACTTAAATGAAATATGGCGATGTGAAAAAAGCGAGGCTAAAGTGAATTTTAAGATAGAAATAATGGTAACTGGTTCGATTTCAATCCGCTGGCTTTTACAACATCTTGCTGACGTCACGTGGAGCAAACTCACACTCATATACAGAAACTCACACACAAAAGCCAAAAAAATATCCCCCGTTCTTTATTATTTTTGTTCCTTTTTTTTTGCATATCCGCCAGCATTTTCGTGTTCCATTTGAGTTTGTTCGGTTTTCTGTTTTCTGTTTTTTTTTTTGTGTAAATCGCATGAAGGCCACTGCAGCAAGGATAAAAAAAAAAAGAAATCAAAAAGAAAGAAAAAAAGAACTGAACAAAATCCCGAAAAACCATCTCTCGTTGACGTTGTTATTATTCACAAACAGCAAAAGACACATACAAGCCCAGATTTACATACACATTCACCCGAAAATCTCCCTTTTAAGTGCATACGAAATGCGATTTTTGCGCATCATTTCGTTTTACTTTCATTTTTCATTTTGGTTTTCTTTTCCTTTTGAATCGTATCGTTATCGTAATCGTTATCGTAATCGTATTTAGTTTTTGATGTCTTTTGAACATTAACTTCAAGTTATTACAATTTGCATAGTTAAAGCTCTGATTGTCTCCTGCAATTAGGAATGAATGAAAAACCCAAAAAAAAAAAAAAATTAAAACAAAAAATATGAAAAAAAATATCAAAGCAAAAGTGCCAGAATGCATATCAACTGAAAATTCTATCTCTCTCTATCTATCTCTCTGTGTTCAGCCGAGCACCACATATGCATATGCAAAACGAATTGGTGGGCGGGGGCGGGGCAAAACCACAAAAGAACTGTACGCATTACGCATTGGCTCTCTCTCTCTCTCTCACACGCACACATAACCCCCTCTACCTCTATAACTATCTCTCTCTCTGCCTTTCTCTCTCTCTGTTTGTCACTCACTGTCTACCTCTATCTCTGTCTGTCCAAAAAGAAAACTTGATGAAGAAATGAATGTCAAATGTTTGTTCACTGAACACAGGGTGCAGCACTCACACTAACTCAAATTCCTCAAGACCAACCCACCTACACAAAGCCAAGCAAAGAACACCAGAAAACACAGTAAAAAAAAACCCAAAAAACTTTAGGTCTTGCGTAGCTTAAAATGCAAGTGGAACCCCATTAAAAACCAAACAGAAACACTCTTAATTGCACCCCCTACCACTCACAAAAATTATAATCTGTCTATCTATATACCTCTCTCTGTCTACAACATCTGTCTTGCTCACTCTCCTGCTAAGCAGCCACAAACCGATCTCTCACTGTCTCTCTATCTCTCTCTCTCTCTGCCTAATCTATCTATATGTCTCTGTCTCTATCTGACTGTCTATCTTACCCACGCTCTATATATTAACTATATAACTACCTGTCTCTCTCTCTATCTCTGTCTGTCTCTATATATCTACATATATATTGATTTTGTTTTATGAGCTATGTAAGTTTTGTTTAGCAAAACCTTATATAAGAACCGGAACCAAAAACTATCAACCAATTACCAAAGCAAAACCCTCAAAACAATTCACACCAAAAAAAAAAAAAAAGAAAATTACTATGAAAATGCACTTACTTGATAAACCCCCCACTCTCCCCTGTTCGGTTAAGCGTTCGAATAATTTTTGAGAGCATGCTAAATATATATTTCCATAAATGTCTATTCTAAAAAGCTTTCTAACTGTCTTAAACGAAAATAAAAACGAAAACGAAAACAAAAACAAAAACAAAAAATACAAACCATACCAAATACCAGCCACAGATTGTTTACAAAGTTGGTAAAAACTAGAAAAACAAAAAGTAAAAATCAAAATATAAGTAAACCACACAAAAGATAACACACACACACAGACATCAAACATTTGCCATTTAGTTTACACGATCGCCCACACACACACACACACACCTTCATGAACAGCTTTTAGTTTTTACAAAGACATAGTCACCACCCCAAAGAAAAAAACAATTAACCACCCCGTCCAAAAAGAACAACAACAATTATGTATTGTAAAACTAACTAATTAAATCGTTAAAATTTGATTTGTTTGAGCACAAGCGAAAGGACGCACCCCTCCCAATATATAAAATGCAAGAAAACACATTGTATATATGCGATATATATATCCGCACAGCGAATATACATATATACATATAATGTCGAGTTCATCTATGTGTGTTTTGCGTGGTTTAAGCTGTTAAAAAGTGGTAACTCAACTCCTGCACGCATGCAGGCCAAAAAAGCCAAAAAGCCAGAGCATTAGAAAAAGAAAACTAACTACCAATTAGCGCCGCCCGCCCGCCAAATAAAAAAAAACGCGCTAGTATCGTAACTGTAATTGTGACTATAATATATATAGTAGCTATATAGTATGTGAACAGCAAGCTAAAGCTAGAGCTAGAGCAAGTCCCAGCATCACAGCATCAGCATCAGTAGTTGCCCCCTAGATTAGGCTATAGTTTACTCTAAGATACTTAGATACCAAAGTTCGGAGCTCTAGCTATATATCTATATATATCTAAAAAAGAAAACCCAATGAATTAAAGGCTAATCAACTATATTTCCGACTAACTCTCACTCTTTCCAACTGTCGCTCTCTCTCTCTATCACTCACTCAGCTGTAGTCGGTAGCTCAATGAAAGACATTTTCAGTTGAATCCCATTGAAAAAATACAAAAAAAGAAATTGAAAAACAATCAAAATCGATTCAAGTGCTGACCCAGCATAAACTGTGCAAATTGTAATAAATAACCTAATTATGTTTATTGAAAACTCATTAGTTTAGGTGTTACAGTGTATAAACTATCGTTTGGAATTTTCATTTCATTCACTTCCGATTCCCCCCTATTCTATCTCTATATATCTCTGCTCTTGTTTCCATGGTTTCATCATTGATTCCCCAGAACGTTTGCTCATTCAATTCTAATCTGTAAAATGCAATGAACAAGCGACTTATCCCACCCACTCTTCTGCATCACTCCACTCCACCTGAAAACACAGCTCACAACCACCACCCATCCACTACCACCCACAAGAACCCACCGCCCAATTGCCACCCTTCAACTATTGTTCGAAATAATAAGCCATTGTTCGAGCCAAATTGATTTAGAGCTTCGTCCATGGACAGGCAGCAGGCTTTGGTTCTCCGAACGGCATTCATAATGAAGTGAATCGTGCATGATTATGCGAAGGTATGCAGAGCGAAGGGCCCAGATCTACTATATTTTCCATACAATGCACACACAATGCCCAATTGAATTTGTGGATTATTTGTTTAAGCCAGCTTTTTGGACCTAGTGCAAGCTGAATGAGGTATGTGAATCACAAAAATGCTTGCAGGCCTAATTGCTAACTGAAATCGGAGATTAACAGGTTCTTCCCTTAGTTAAGCATACGCACTGTTGTGCCAGCTGCAAAAGAAAATTTAATACCAGTTTAGTTTTAGTGAAACAAAGGAATTTATAGTAAATAAAATGAAAAACTGCCTAAGAGAAAGCCAAAATTAAAATCAATAAACATGGTTTTATGACTGCAATATAACGCATACGCCCCGTGGCAGCAGTCCAGAAACTTCTTTATTACCTTAGTTAAAAGCTTGTTAAATATCGTAACAAAAAACAAAAAATAGCTTCATTTTATAATAAAACTACTCCACCCTCGGCTTTAAACTTTTCAAAACGAGCACCATTTATCCTCGCCGAACAAATAGAATAAATCTTGCCAAACTCAAATGCATAACTGGATTTGCTGGAATATTTTCTAGCCAGTCTTTTTACTTCTCCAGAATCCTGCTGTGGCTGCTGCTCACATTTCAGTTGATTCACATGCAAAATGCTAGAGATTTGCCTTGCCGAAAGTTCGCCCACAAAAGGCGGAATAGGCAAAGCATGGAAAACCCTCGAAACTGGCCGAGTGGAAACGATGACACTAAACAACATTGACACCACAGCTTCAGCTTTGTAGAGAGGCCGTAAAAAGCGGTCTAGACTACGCCGAACAATGTTTGGGCAGGTCATAAAACGTAAAGCGCTCCGTCGTTGAGGGAGCAACTTTTTACCACTGCTATATACACACACGTACTTGTGTGCAAGTGCGGGGAGTTAGTTGGGCATAAGTTCGGCCAACTTATGCGAGCAGGGCCCTCGGCCGAAAGAAGAGAAGAAAAATAAAATTTCGAGAATTCGATTTGGGCATCATGAACCGTAGCTGACACCATTGGGGCAGGGCCACTAAACTTGCGGTCAGAATGGAATAATCCACAAGAAATGTGTACATAACACCGCCCACGACCCCGTCACATATATCTCTATTCCCCTGTACCAAACCAAACCAAACCAAACCAAACCCCTTTGCCACACTATTTCTCCTCCCCTGCTAGAATGTAAGACCTTTTCTACAAACGATTTAATGCCTCTTTGGTTGTTGAGTTTGATTAACTTTTTGAGTTTCGTACTTTTTCGGCTTATAATTTGCGCCGTTCACACGTGTTCTTGTATAATTTGTTGAACCTACCAACTCTCTGTACCATATCTTATACACTGTAACCTCCAAGCTGTTGGGTTTGCTCCACGTATCGTTATTGCGCAGATAATCGAATCCCACTCGAGCACATAAAACTTGTGTCGGCAAATTGCTAGGATAACTCTCGCTGCCACCGAATAAAGTTCGCTGAATGCAAAACAATGTGAAAAGGCTTTGGGACTTTGGGATGCGCACAAAGATGCACAGCAACACGAACACAGATACACATTCAAATGCAAAATGCAAAATGCAAATGCAAAATCCAAATGCACAGACACAGATGCAATAATCAAAATGAAAGCACTGCCTTTGTGTGTGTGTGTGTGTGTGAGCAAAAGTGTGAGTTTGTGTGTCTTTCGGCATTGTCGGTCCTTTGGTCTGTGGCAAAACTTTTGCACTCCCTGCACTTAGTTCTATTAGAGAAAAGCGACCCCGGCAAAAAGAAGCCAGCAAGGCAGCCAGCCAACAACGTTCGAGTCAAGTGCATTCGCATTATAGCAACCTCTTTCTTGGCTATAAAGTGCACAGCACAAGCTGGCCAGCCACCGATACTGATATACAGATACAGATACAAAATGCTTAGCTTATCACCATAGTACCACCCACATGTGTATATATACTCGCGAATTTTCAAAGCGCGTCTATTTGTATATACGCACATTTTTTCTTGTACGTCTGTGAAGGTGTTTGTTGGCAACAATAACAAGCGAATAATAAAAATAACTAACAGACCCAACTACAACAATAGCAGGAACAATAGAGAAAGCAAAAAAACAAAAAAGTTAAAAAAAAAAGCAATGTCCCCAAACAAAATACCCACTGCATCTTGTAGGTTCTCACAAAGGATAGCGTTACGGTTTCGGTGGATGCAGTGGTTTACTATCGGGTATCAAATGCAACGGTCTCTATCGCGAACGTGGAGAATGCTCACCATTCGACCAGGCTACTGGCACAGACTACTCTACGAAACACAATGGGAACTCGGCATTTGCATGAGATACTCAGCGAGCGTATGACGATTTCCGGCACAATGCAGGTGAGTTCAAAACAGTTGACAGTTGCCAGTTGGCCCGGCCCGCCGACAAAGTCTCTCTCTCCCCCATCTCTCTAAAAACGACGCGACTCCATCGAGCTGCTCTTCCTCTAATTTACTTAGTATGCCGTCATAAAGAAATATACATAGAAAGAAAATTAATCGGGAACGAAAAATATGAAATTATAAACTAGAAAAAATAGCTGTGTGAACTTAAAGCATCATTGTTCTTGGTTGGTTTATCATTGGGACCACCCTTTAAGCACCCGTTTCAAATGCCACTTATCTCGTCTTCATTCCTAGAATTTTCTTCCTGTGCACAAAGGAAACGAGAAAATCCACGCAGAATAAATGCAGCCAGGCAGTCAGCTACTTGCCAGTTCCTTCTGCTGACAGATGACATTTAAGTCTCTCCTACTAATTATGCAGCATAAACCTTAAAGTTTTGCGGTGAAACTCCGAAGGCGAAATATTAATTGCAAAATTTAACAGCTGCCAAAGGCGAAGTCTGTCTGGGCTCCGTGCCTGGCATGAAAATAATCTCAGAGCCAAAGCGTTTTTTCATAGCTACAAATTGAAAAGGCAACCCGGGCCGGGGAGGCGAGCGGTGACTATGAAGTTACGAGCCGCATATCTTAGCAGCTGCCAACTTAACCCAAATTCTATGGCAAAAGTCTGGTGGTAGCAACGGGTAGTTCGTTTTATTTATTTATTTTCCATGCCATATGAAAAATAGTTCAAAATCAGGCGAAAATCTCGAGCAGCATCAGCATCAGCGGTGCACGTCGATGTGCAAACATGTGCAAAATGCCAAGTTGCCATGGCTCCACCTCCTTGGACTCCCCGCTCTTCTCGACGATGCCGAGTGCTGCATTTTTAGTTTTTCATTTCAAGGATGCTGCACGACCCACAAACAATGTGTGGAAAAATGCAAGGATGGCAAGGGGAGAGGGTTGGGAAATAAAAGCAAAACCGAAACAAAACTGTTAACGACCTGAAAAACGCGTGTAAACAAAAACTAATGTATTTTTACTGCTATTTCTCACACGGCTCATCCACCTACTAACCGTCCAAACTAACCAACCAACCAACCAACCAAACCAAACCGACCAAACCAACGTCTACACCCAACTCAACCACCACCTGGCGTCCAATCATAAACAGGTTCAACTCGACGAAGCCACCGATGCCTGGGGCATCAAAGTTGAACGTGTTGAAATGTAAGTAGCACAGCTTTTTTACCCCCACACACACATATACACAACCAAACAACACTTGCAGTAGTGGCAACCTGGAAAAGTTTCTATGTCAAGCTATAAAAGTAATGTTATAAACGTTTCACCTCGCCAAGTCGAAGTTGATATGCTCTAAAGGATATGGCGAGCTTTGCTCTTTAGTGCTATTCATGGGGTGATTTCTTTAAACTAAATGGATTAGTTTTAGTGTTTTTCGATTTTTACATCCCCACTTTAGGGACAGTGTTAAGGGGAAATCTATATTGTGTTCTAGTTAAACGGTTTTAAGAGTTGACAGAGATTTCTAAAATTTAGCAGCTGGTAAATAAGGTTAAAGAGGTCTGCTCCACTGACACATTTGCATGCCAAATTAAACTATTTTGGGAAGAGTTTTTCCATTAGAATTTGGAATTCAAAGTTAATATTTAATGACGTTTTCATGGGAAACTAAAAGTGTAAACAGATAAAACAGAAAACTTGCTACGACTTTAATTAGTTTACCTCTTAAGCTAACTATTTTCCTTTATCAAAGAATACAAGCCGTTCTTCGTTACATTTTCATCTAACAAATTGAGTATCCCCCTTCAGAGCTTCTATAATAACGTTATGAAATCCCAGAATGCCCCCTCTTATTTGTGCTGACTAAGGTCTCCAGAGTCTTCCGAGTAATTCCCAGCTTATATAACATTTAAATTGGCTAGTTTGAGCCCCGCCAGCACTGTCATAGCCCCAGCAAGGCCACAGCACTCGAGTTTGTTGGTTATTTGTTTTATTTGTTTTACCATTTTTCCGGGCATTTATCACAATAACGCTGCCTGATGGGCGGAAAGTGTGGGAGCTGCTGCCCTTTGTCTGCTGTCACCGAGGCCCTGTTGTTATAATTTATTATTCGCCGTTCACGTGCGGGGGGTTTGGTGGGTGAGAGGGGGCAAGTGGCTACTTTGTCAGCTTCAGTTTTTCGCAGCGCCAAGTGTGTGACGTTGGCATGTCAAATGCTCATACATGGCCAACAATATGGCGGCCTAGAAGACCCGGCTGGTGCTGCTGCTGTTGGTGTGTTGGCCATGTCAAAACAGCTGCAACAACTTGACGTGTTGTTGGTAATATTATTGTTGTTGTTGTGGTTATGCTGCGGCTGTTACCTTTATGAACGCCCCCAGCCCACCGAAAAAGTTGCCACTTCAACTCCCCCAAATGGCAAAAACTTGGCCGTTTTGCCATGAAAACGTTTTCATTTTATGGCAGTTGTTGAATTTTTCATTATTGCATCTCCTTTTGACTCTCCTTGGTTGTGTTGTGATATTGATCAGCTGGTTTATAACTTCCTCAAATGGCCAATAAAGCGATGCGAGAAATTGCAGTGTTTATGAGTTATATAACTCGATTTGAATTTTCGACAAATAGCGCGATATAAATATCACTTGATAAATTAAACTTCACGCTTCGTTGGTCGTAAAAAATGTTTTCCGCGAACGCATTTGAATTAAAGATGCTACATTACGCTGAGGGCCACATTAGCATCCAGCTCAGCACATTTGGGTTGATGGCTTCAATTTTATACGCAAATTCCTGAGGAAAAACACTTGGAAAAATAAATCTTCAAATTTGAGATTTATCATGGTTTTTACCACTAAAAAGTTAAAGGATCATAACCAGCAAAGACTTCTTGAGGTATATTAAGATTCTCGTTAGCATGTGAGGCACATTTTTCTGAGTGTTGAAATTTTGCGAATGCAAAACTTGTCTTAGCTTTGAATTAGGAGTATTTCCGCTATCTGCAAGTCACGCTGGCTAATCTCATTTTCTCCATCGACCGAGCAGCAAGGACGTGCGCTTGCCAGTGCAACTGCAGCGAGCCATGGCCGCCGAGGCAGAGGCTGCCCGAGAAGCCCGCGCCAAAGTCATCGCCGCCGAAGGAGAACAGAAGGCGTCGAGGGCACTCCGAGAAGCGTCTGAGGTGATTGGCGATTCGCCGGCTGCACTTCAACTGCGTTACCTTCAGGTGGGTCACTGACATCTCCATTTATCTGGGGGTGTTAAAGAGGATTTCTTATTGATTTACAACCTTAAATCGTTTTAGACACTCAATACCATATCTGCGGAGAAGAACTCGACCATTGTTTTCCCGCTGCCCATCGATTTAATAACGTATTTCCTCAAGACCACCGAGGCCACCACGCAACAGAATGCCCGTGCAGCTGCGGCAGCTATTGGCAATACACCGCCGCCCTTGCAACTGGCGCCGCAACAGCAAATGCAGCAGCAACAACAGCCGCAGTACCAGCAGCAACAGCAACCGCAGCAGCAGCAACAGCAGCCGCAGCAATACCAACAGCCGCAGCAACAACAGCAGCAACAAGATCAGCTGTATCAACAAGGGCAGCAGATCTCATCAGCCATGTAAATCAGCTTAAGATCATAAAAGGTTCGGCCTTGTCGACTCCAAAATGCCTTGCACAAAGTCAGCAGAATGTGCTGGGGTTATGCTTGAAGTTTGTTTACAAATATACTTCAGGGATATCGAAACATCTTTATCTTCTCATGAAAAATAGTTATTATATCGATAGAATAAACATGTATTGGGAACACACGCATGTTTCTTCGGTCGTTAATATAGGGTTTCATTTCTGAACTAAATATCTCACGTCAAACTTAAGATGTGTATTCCGGTACACATTTTAAGAGATACTTAGCTTCGGCGATTGGAATTGAGATAAGTATTTTTAATGAGGAAATATAGATAAATGCATTTTCCTGGAGTTGATGACAAACAAACTTCAAAATTTAACTCATAATTTACTTGTGCAGTTCATTTTAAACTTAAACCAAAAAAAAAAAACAACGGAAACAACGATTCATGAGAATCAAAAACTTAGTTCATAACACCGATAAGTGCGATTCGAATGCGTTAGCCGACAGCAGATCCTTTCGGAAGGAAGTGATAAGGGATCTGTGGTCAAATAGATACGAAAATACAAAAGCCTAGAATAGTTTCATACGAGACGAAAGATAGAGTTTAATATTTGTAGCTTTACGACCAGAGAATGCAATTCTAAATATTAAACGTAGTTCTAGCGGTGCATTGAGATATTACCACACAACATTCAGAATCAAAGTAAAATACTTATTGTCAGAAAAATATAATACTTTAAACGGTCTGCGGATCGCTCAGGTGAGAATTCTAAAACCAACCAGTTTTGAAAGTCTCGAATTGCAAAATTCGTAATAGTCAAAAATGGTTGGTTTGGTTTTGTATTTTCACTCCGAACGCTGAGTGATCCACTGATCGTTGAACTTTTTTATTTACCTTCAACGAAGGTCCATTTCCTTAAATGATGGTTAAAGTATTTAGTTAATATATAATTTAAATAAACCTCTCTACCCCCTTATGATGAAACTACTCAAGTAAGGAAACGGGCCTGCGTCGAAACATAATATCAAGGCGCTTGTAAATGTTTTTCCTGTTAATTATTGATGTATTCTCGATTAGAGTGCGCTTTGCTGTATACTTAACAATGAACATCAGTTAGCCGGTATACAGCAAATGTACTGATTTCCATAAACCAATTAAAACTTTATAGGACTTTAATAACTCTAGTTACGAGCAGTTGTACTTATATGGTACACCCCAACATTCCTACTGTTAATCTGTTTCAACTGGAATTAATCCAGTTGTTATATAGACCGATCGATCAAGTGGTCTTTAAAAACTGTTACAAGTTAGTTAAACCCACAACAAGTATCGGTCGAATCAATGTTCGTAGGTCCAAAATACGAATGCCAAACAATAAATAAGAGTAATACGAATTTATTGTACATACAATAAACAAATAAATAGAACAATTAAGCATTGAACGAACCATTAATTAAAATTGAATATTCCTATCGATATTCACAATATATACAAACACACACACAAACACAACAATAAAAGGAAGAATTGACGTCAAGCTCTCTCTCAAAGTAGCAAGTGGCTACTTAACAGCGTTAGTAGTAAGTCTCAGTAGATATCGGACAGAAACGGACAGAAGAAGGAAGGAAACTAAAGTGAGATGTATCTAAAACACAAAATCGTTTACTTTTTAGCGCACTTCATGGATTAAACAAAAAACAAAGTGTTATTGAATTAATTATATATACATATACAAACATAACGAATTACATATTATGTACAATTTTGCCTTTGAACAATTTTTAAACGGAAACGATTTCATTATCCACATACGATTTAGATTATATGTGTAAAGGAACAATAAAAATTTCTTCAACTTTTTTGGTATCCAAAAAAGGAAAAACAAAAGGCTTTTATTTCTTATTAAATCAGATAATAAACTGGTAAGTATTTAAAGTCAAGCCCCATAACCATAATGAAAACGCACACTTCTTAGTTATTACATATTTTTCAATTTTATTAGTTATTATCATTATTATTTGTATTATGCATTACACACCTAACCGACTTAACGGACACATTTCCATCATTTTTCATCGGCTAAATTCAGTTTCCATTCATATTTGCTTCGTGAATCTGCGTATTATAAACCATTATCCGCCCGTACATGACAATTCTCGGTTGTTATTTCTATAATTATTCATTCATCAGACATTGCAATTCGTGTGTGTTATTATTAGGCAATAACCGATGTCAGCGCATGCAACACGCCTATACCCAGGCAAAAGGCTGAAAAATTTTTTAAATCTTTCAATTTGATTGCCGCAGAGTTTGTATAAAAAATTTGTGAAATTTTGTGTTCTTGTTGTGGTTAATGCCTCGCGTGCCGCTTGCGCCGCCAATGGCTTTTGTTCTTTGTTTGTTTTTTGTTTTTATTTTACGTTTCAGCTGCCGCAAAATCATTCATTATTAGTTTTGTCGGTATTATGGATTCAATTTAATTTCTCGTTTATTTCTACATGTTATGTCAAGTTTATATACAAAAATTCATCAACTACGCTAAACAATTTCAGTTTTGCCTGTGAATTATAACAATATTTTAATTAATTATTTGCAGTGATTCCGTTGTGATTACGTTTGAATGCAATTTCATACAATGATTGGTTGTTCTTCTTGTTAGTTTTTTTTTGTTTAAGCCTGGTTATCCTATAAACTGATCTCTGTCTGTGTTGTTTACGTGTGAAATGCTTTGAGTTGCCGTATAAATCTTCTTTACAAATACATATATATCTCAATACGAAATGCTAAACTTTGGTTTTATGCTACAGAATGTGCACACAATGGCCAACACAATATATGCTATATGTAATGTACTATATCGATGAACGACAAACTAAAACTATAACAAAAATCAAATAAATTAAAAGAAGTCTCCTCAATCGATGTTCGATTCATGTGTGTGTGTGTGTGTGTGCTGTATCTTTTAAAGGCTAAGATAGGTGTGTATAAGTGTAGTGTGATTGATTGGTTGATACAGTACAGATCGGTTAGAGTCATTATCGTCTGATATTTTGCATTTGAAACCCTTAAGATAGCAGTTTATCCTTATGGCTTGAGTCGGGCTATTGATTTGGGCTGCACACGCAAGGAACAGCAGGTCTGGAGAGGAACTAAATGCGGGCCAACGCTGCAGGTTGTACATCAATAGATATAACTAGACTACATGGACAGTGCCCAATCGTGTTGCTTGTGCTTAAGTATACGAACAAAGAATAAACAATAATTTTGGCATAAACTTAAATGTACTATAAACATTCATTGGTTCAATTGCTAACAACGAAATATGTGAAATGCTTTCTTTTCATCTTCTTTTTATCTTTTCAATGATTTGTACAAAATGCGTTTTTTTCGTTTTTCTTTTAATCTAGCCTCAACTATGCGAGGGAGAAGCAACTTATTATGTTTTCTGGTTTTAGATCGTTTATATTTTCTGACTTGGAAGTAGAGACGAGGGGTGGGCGCCACCTTATAAGTAAATGCCATCATTGGAGTTTCGCATTAGCAACAATTTGAAATACGTAAATGTTCGTTTTCACGATACGGATTGATTGAGTCAAATAATACTTGGCTTAGTCGATAGTCGTGGGTGTGTGTGAGTGGAAAGTATCAGAAGAAACTATTCAGCAGAGGGAGGAGGTTAAGTTCAAAAAGTTCTAGTCATAGATTGGATTGGATTGGATTGTTGTTTATATATAAAACCTAAGCACCGATTAAAGTAGCGTTAAATTGTAGCTGTATTCGATTTGAAATTCAATAGAGTTGCCACCGATTACTGTTCTTGATTTCTTGGTATCATTTTTCGGCCCGTTTTAGTTTCTGGTTTAAGCTTAAAAAACTAGTTAAATACTTTCTATTTCCATAGTACATACAGTTAGGTATATAAATTATAAAATAGTTTTGCGTGTAAAATATAAAATTTTGTTTTTCCGATTTCGTTTTTTTTTTCGTTTTGTTGATTTTTTTTTTTTTTTAGTTGGTTTCTGAATTGTTTAGATACGCTTAAACACATACATATACCATACATATAGAGTTCATGTGTGTTGGTTGGTTGGTTGGTTGGTATGCAACTATGCCATTAAAAAGTCTTAAGAATTATAGTAAATATGCATATAAATGTATAATATATGTATAACTTTATATACTATATATATATATTTATATATCGTACGTGTGTGTATGCGTGTGAGAGAGTGTGGGTGATGTGAGTGATTAGGCTGGACTCTGTTTAGTCTTGCACCTCTCGATACGGCACCTCCGACGTGACCGAGAAGGACTCGAAGTAATGGTTCAAAAACTCGAATGTCGGCCGCTTCTCGGGCACAGCATCCCAGCACTGAAGCAGCAGCTGATAAATGTTGTCCGGGAAATAGTGATTCGTTGGCTTCGGCATACGGAAACCGCGCTCGATGTTCTCAATCACCTCGCGACTATGCATTCCCGGATAGGGCACTTGTCCATAAGTAAACAACTCCATCAGCAGAATGCCATAAGACCACACGTCCGACTTGATCGAGAACTTGCCATAGATGATTGCCTCGGGCGCCGTCCACTTGACCGGAAACCGTGATCCCTGCTTGGGGCAGTACTCATCATCGGCGATAACACGCGCCAATCCAAAATCACAAATCTTCGCCACATTATTCTCTCCAATCAGCACATTACGGGCAGCCAAATCGCGATGGATAAGCTGCTTGGACTCCAGATACTCCATGCCGCTGGCCACCTGGGTGGCTATATAGATGAGATCCTCAAAGTGCAAGTAGCGGCCATCGCCTTCGCGCAAAAAGTCTAGAAGACTGCCCTTGGACATGTACTCCTGCACGATGTAGATGGGCTCCTCCTGCAAAGAGACATTACCATTAGTAACTAATATTTATGATATATTAATCTCACTTACCTGTGAGCAAACAGCATAGAGGGCCACCAGGCGGTTGTGGCGGAACTTCTTCATAATTGCAGCCTCCTGAAGGAAAGCAGCCGTGGACATGGTTCCCTCACGAAGAGTCTTGACCGCCACATCGATGCTGTTGCGCCACTTGCCGTAGAAGACCTCACCGAAGTTGCCGCGTCCCAATTTACGCAGCAGCTGAATCTCAGAGCGTGGAATCTCATACTTATCACGCAACTCCGGTCCCAGGTCCCACATCTGGGGCTGCGGTTTGGGGCAGGGACGCGACAATATGTGACAAAGGCCAAGAGCGTTTTCTTCAGAGATAGGGAATTAATCAATAGGTTTTCCATTCTCACACTTATTGCTATCTCTATACTCACTGCTATATGCCATGACCAAAGCCTGAAGCGAGGGGAAAGTCTGATTGGTGGCTATGTAGTAGCCACCATTATCCAGCGGCTTGATGCGGTAGTGCTTGACATGGTAACCACGTCCATCCTCCCAATCCTTCACCGACAGCGAATAGCCATTGGGATTGTGCTCTGAAGGTCGCACAAGGAAAGTGCCACGCGGATTTTCCTCGGCCAACAGCAACTTGTCTGCCTCCTTTCGTAGCACGTTCTCAAAGAACCAGCTGGGGAAAGATTTTAATATTTGATTATTTCTATGCTTAAAGAAATTAAAGTGATTTTTGGAGAATTTAAGGAAGCACCTTAAAAATCACATAAATTTAACAGGAGACAGGCACTTACTCTTCGCTGTTCACGCTGCGCTCCTCGGCCACAAAGTTGAGCGGTATGAGGCCCTCCTGCCGGGTTGTCAGATTCACAACGCGCCACCAATCGGACTCGGTGTCGTCGATGACCTCCATGCGGTCGCCCTTCATGAAGCTCAGATCGGATTCATCGCGGGATTTATAGTCGTATAGGGCCACGACTACGCGCTTGAGCACGACACCAGGAACGCCGGCTGTAAAAAATAAAACGAAAGCGAAGGATGAGGCAAGTGAGGTCGAGTTAGTGGCAATTTTCGTCTGGCTGGGCAAATTTGATTTGCGTCCTTAAATTGCAATTTATGGCGACAAATTGGGAAATAATATTTTTTTTTAATATTTGCTTTGCCTATTTGACTAACCAATTTGCCATGGCCGAAACTTAATTAGAATTTAATGAGTTCAAGTAGGGGAGAGATGATGGTGCCAAATTTGCAAATTGCAAATTGGATAGCATACTTTTTTGGGGGCCGGGGCGCCATAAACAACGAAACAATTTCATTTTGGTTCCTCGAACCCGAACGCTGCCAAGCCACAATTTTTGGCACTGACTTGCATTTGGCTAATTGATTTAGCTAACAGCAAGGCAACGCATAAATAAACTTCTCTCGCCGCTTTGCCAGTTGCCTTGGCCCCTCTCGAAGCCCTCCAATGCATTGGCCCTTTCCCTGGTTTAAAAACCCTTCTGAAACTCATACCTCCCCTCTTCATTACCACACCCATGCCGAATGCAATGTTCGTGCTGACAAAACAAAGGCGGCACAAATCACTGGCCAAGCACTCAACCTCTTTATGGGTTTACACGACCTAAGCGGCTTTACAGCCCATACAGTCGGCTATATGCTGCTATAAGGCAATGGTACTGTCATGTCACGGATAGAAATGCCAGCAGTTAATCGGCTGCCAGCGAGGTCTGCATTCTCAGCTAGTGACAGGTCAGATCAAAATAATTCTGTCATTTCAATGGTACACTAATGTGACAGCTATATGATGGTAATACTAGTCAAAGGGGTCAACTTAAACCATACTTAATGAACATATTAATTGCTCTCCTTGCAAAAAGCCAATAGTTTGGAATGGTTTCTAGGCAACTTAAGAAATTAAAGAATGAATTACTTTATAAGCTACTTTAGCTTAAAATAAAAATGTGTGTCACTGCTCTCAAAATAACCTCCTTTATTTGCATTGCTAATTTGTTCTTTACTGGAATTTTCCCTTGCTGAATTTACTTGTGGCAAATATAGCAACCCCATGGCAAGCTTGGAAAACTCTTTCTCAGCTGCAACTCCTTGTCCAATCCTCTAGGGTCTCGTGAACGCAATGTCGTGTCATATGGTATGCAATATCGCCGTCAAGGTGGCATTAAGCCAACACCAAGAGCAGCTGCCCTGTCCCTCTCCTCTTTTATGGGCCACGCAGCCGAGAACTGGTCAAGGTTAACGACTGTCATCGTATTACCACTGCAAATATGAGAATTGCGTTGCCACCTGGCAAATGACTTGACTCCACCTCTGAACCTCCTGGGAGGCAAACTCTAATTATGGAAGTGGGGTAAGGTAAGGGTACCAAGGGTACTAGATGACTTGGATGAACGTTGGTTATGTGGCAGGTTAGTTAGTTGCTTGGTTGGCTGGTTGCCTGGCTGCCCCGACTGCCTTGCTTGCCATTTTATGCAAACACAAGGCCAACCAGCGGGTAAAAGCCAATCTCTGTGGCAGGCAAAAAGTCAAATTGCTAATTAAAAGCTGGAATTATCACTCCACCCACAAGGCACAGGAGAGTAACAGCCAACAGCTAATTACTAATGCATGATAATATGTAAACAAACAGTGGAACTTCAACATCATTAACTTCCTTAATTCAGGATTTAATTAATCAGAAACGAAGTTGAAAAAGTTTAAAGTGGTGGGTAAACCGGACATTTCTATAAAAATTAAATCAGATTTTAAATGATAAAGTTTCTATAGCGTATAGTTTTACAGAGACCTCACTGTAATTACTAATGGACGATAATACGCATATTAGATAGGGCTCTAATTCTGGGAAATACTCACTTGGTGTGGTGCGGGGCCTGATGATATCAACGCCACCCTTTCCGCCGATTTTCAACGGACCTCGATGATTGGGATCGGGGGTATAGCGCGAATCCAGCGAACCCCCGTTATTGTGCTTTTGGCCGAGAACGCCGCCCATGTTGCCGCCGCCGCTGCTGTTGATGTGCGTCTGGCCAAAGGTATAGTCGGATTTCTTGTAGCCCCCAGTGGGATAGGCCAGTGCCAATTCCTGATCCTGTCGCTTGCTGCAGCATTGGTTGCCCATGGCTTAGTCAAATATCTCCTGGCGCAAACTCCTGATCTTGAGCTTTTCCTGGCTTTTATCCTTTAAAGTTTATCTATTATTTTTTTTATTATTATTTCTATAAATTATGTTCCTATATATTTTGTTCAGCTTCAGTTGGGGCAACACATATTTTGGCAATTAACGAGTTGTTCTTAATAAGAATATTTATAAATTTGTTGCAGCCGTGTTTGTTTGTTGTTCGATTTACTTTATAGTAAGTAGTTTAAACTATCAGTCAAGTTGGTTTATGTTTTTTTTTTGTTTTTCGTTTGGGCCCCTGCCTTTAAGTTTGCATCAAAAGCTGCAAGTGGAGGGCATTTGCTTTAGTTCATCTATCAACTGCTACTGCTAACTGTGTGTTCTTCTTGGCCGAGCTGCAAAAACGCATTTCGTTTTGTGGTATATAAAAAGTGTCCAATGTTGCTGGTTGCCAGTTGCATTCACAGTTGCAACTGCTGCTCCTTGATTGCTACTTGTTGGTTGATCCTTGCGGTCTGCGTCTGTGTCCTGCCAGCAATTTCAGCCAGCGACCGTCTGCACATTGCTGGCCGTCGGTCGTCAGTCACCTGTGAGCCAAAATGAAAGTAAACAAAAACGTAGAAACCAAAATTAGTTAGTGTTAATAAATATTCATTAAATAAACATTTTCAGCCAGACAAAGGACCCTCCGTCCACTGACCCGTGTCCACTCAGCCGGACAGTTGCCTTTTGCCAATTGTCCCGGCATCCTGTGGCTTCCTAAACGTTTTTGGCACATTATTACACTTGACTTGGCCAGCAGGCAAGCGTATTCAGTTTATGCACTGAAATCCCCCATGTAGATTCTATTCTGTACTCGCTTAAAGCAGCTTTGGGTTCATCAGCCCCTTGCATTAGAGATGCCCAGAGATTTGCATATTAAATTAAATATTACACGTCACTTTTAATTGGCATAATTTGCTTGATTTTACCTATTTATTTGGTTATAAATTGTTTGATATCCGATTTAATTAGATTTATGCGAGTGCCATAAGATAGCTACTTTAATTAGCATTCTTTACCTGGCATTTGTAGAATTTATATCTGCCATAAAAATAACAATAAAATTATTCACAAAATAGCCATTGAGTTTCCTTTTATTGCATCTTTATAGGAATTTCGTTAATCTTACTTAACAGCTTCTCCAATATCTGTCACGAAAGATAATGTTTAGAGTTTCTAGGACTTATTTATAAACCTTATTTTTGCTTCACACATTTATCTCAATTAGATTTCCCAAAGGACATCTCTACTATCACTATTCCCGGCTTGGAAAACTCATCACTCTCGTCTGCCGGAGGCCAACAGTCGCACACAACCTTTCGACGATGCCACAATAACCACAATACACCAAATGCAGGAGCAACAGCAACATCAACCGCTGCAACAACTGCAGCAGGAGAAGCAACTGCAACAGCAACCATAACAACAAGAACCAGGACAACAGCGGCGGCATCCAACCAACCATTTGAAAGGTTGCCAGCTGGGCAGGCTCAACTTCACTCCGCCCCGTATAGCCATTGTCTATTGACTCAAGCCTGGCAGGCATCTGTTTATTGTTCAATTGGATAATTATGGTCTCCAATGCAGAGTTGAGGATGGCATGGGCGTGTTGTTGTGAGGCCAAGGTTGAGCCACTCTCGATGGCTCTTCCTGCCACTGCCAGACACACACACTCATACACACTCCCTTGACAATCTAGATTGCTGCTGCAGTTTCCAATTTTAATTGTTATTGTTGCGCATTTGTTCTGTGTGTGCGCAGCTGGCATGAAATTGTCGCTCCGCCGGCAGTTGCCAGGATGCATTTGCGGCATTAGCTAATATCCTGTCATTGTTCCGGTCCGCCTGGCATGGCATGCCGTCAATTATTAAAGCCATGTTTATCCCAGGCCTCAAGTGAGCTCTCGGACATCTCTTAAATCCTTAGCAAACAAAAAGGGTGCACTCGGAAAAGGAACATTTCCCCTGATTTTTGGGACTCCAGATTGAGTTAATCACCCATAGCTGAGGGAAATGGTCATATCATTAAAATGCAGTAATATTTTAGCCTATTTTTCGGATGATCCATCTCACTTTTAACTGTATTTATCTACATTTTCTTTCAGTGCATTCAACTGAGGCATTAAAATGCCAACCAAAATGAAAATGGTGGAAAGTGTGACTGACTTGACAGCATAGAGAGGGCCAGCAGAGAGGGCAACATTGCCTAAAGTGTGGAAATTGTGCCAGGACATTTGAACTGTCTGAGTTTCGTCGGCGCGACGTCTGCGTTTATTGTCCCCTCAACTTGATAAACAGAGAACGTGTGGAGGGCTTTAAAATCCGCCAACAACAAGCATAAAACTTTGAATGGATTTACGTTCGTTTGGCCATAAAAAGTCAAAGTTTGTTTTTCGGCGAGTTCATGAACCCATTCGCACAGCAACAACAGCGAAAAGTTCCAAACGGGGGTCAAGCAACCTTTATTTTTGGGGTCGACGTCAACGAAACAGAGTGGCCAGCATTGAAGCTGCAATAATGTTGGGAAATTCTATACAATTACGTCCGCCAGCTTTATGAGATGTACTTGAAAAGTCACTGACTGGATTATTTTTTTTTACTACCCGACGTTTAACAAAGAGAGCAACAGTTGAAGGGCTGGCGATGGGATGGAAAATGATAGGATAATACGGTAATAATGTTATCAGCAGCTTATAAAGATGATTTAGTGTTTTTTTTTTTAGTATCTAAAGACTTTTCTTTGTTCTTTTTAGGAAAAAGAAAAATGTTACTGAATAAAAATCAATACTTTGCAATATATTTTGTTTAATTCCCTTTTTTGTGTAGGGTATTAACATGTCCCTGCAATGTGAATGCCATAAATCCCACTCTATAATAATATTCCCACTTCAATACTTTTTGGGGTCCCTCCCCCAGGACGACAGGTGGCACACAGAGGACCTCTGAAGACTGTGCCACAGGACGAAACGATTTATAACCCCAACGCACTGGCATATCAAAAACTCAATGCAAATGGTTGATTGGGGATTTCTGGCAAAGAGTTGGAATCGAAACAGTATATCATAGCTGATGGGTTGATGGCCAGGCTAACGAAAAGTAGAACTGCCAGTTACCAATTTTTGGGTTTTCCACCGCTGACAAGCGTTTCAGTTTCATTTGCGTGTGTTTGTATATCTACCATACGTACATGTGTGTGTTTGACATGAAAATGTAATTTTCTAGTTTTTGGGGGGTAGAAGGTAGAAGAAAACGAGTCATATGTTGTGGGTTGTTGATGGCTGTGTTGTTGCAACTCGAGCAATGAATTTCCATTGTTCAAGTTGACAAAACTAAATGAATACTTAATTGGATATTGCGGCTTTGAATGCGATAGAAAGACGGCAACACGAATATGAAAACCTGGCAGTTATGATGCGAGCTTGTGGTTGTGTCAAGATGTGAAAATAGAAAATATGAGGTCAATAAATCTGGGTCGCTAAGCCAATTATTACTAATTTAACGAATTGTGGGAGCAAACATAAATCTAAACGTTTTCGATTCATTAATTTGATTACCTAATATAAAATTATTTATTTAGTTGGACCACAGAATAGTAAATGGATTTTAAAATTGGTTTTCTCTTCTTAAATTCAATTCAAATTGAACTATTTATTCCCAGACATAAAATCCAATTTATACACAAAGTCATAGTACAAAAAAGGCAATCAATGTTCCAATATCTTAAAGGAATAACCATTTATTCAAGCCTAGTTTTCTGCCTGCTTATCCCCAAGCATTTTAAACAAAGAATTTGAACTACATTTTTGCCAAGTTAACAATCTGGGCCCGGAATAGTTGCGCCAATGGTCTCACCACTGTCTAATAAAATCAAATATTATGCAAAAGAATGTGATTCCCCTTGGGGGTCCCCAAAACGAACCGCATGTCAGGCCAAATCCTCGAGGACATAAAGGCATTAACTGTAAATGCCGTAATGCCGTCATTTCCCGATGACAGCCACAAACACACACACACTGCGAAATATAGAGCGTCTTTGATAAGAGGGGTTTTTTGGGGGTGGAAAACGTTGGAAAATGGAAATGGAAAATGGTTCTGTTTCGCCCACATTTTTTTATTGCGCTCCATTATTATTATACTGGGTTTGCCGCAGCCCCACCACTACCCTACCATCATCATCATCGTCGTCCTTCGTCAGCTGTAGCCACATTGTTGCCTACTTAAAAAGTCAATTTGTGTGACGTCCTCGTTGTCATCCTGTTGCCGTGTGGATGCCGGCTTTTTCCACCCCTCGTACACACCAATTTCCCCAACACCTCCCCCTTTTTGTCTTATCTGTGCGTTCAACCCAGAGTGACACAGTCGTTCACCTTTCAGCGTCACGTGCTATCGATTAGTCCTCTAAAGGAATTACACAAATAAAATATATACCAGGACATCTGTTGGTGCGGAAATGTGTGCCAATGAATTTTCCTTCGTCTAAGTAATGAAGACAACAATAAATTCTCGATTTATATACTATAGTAAATCCCCCTTCCTATAAAGTGCACTGCAAATTAAATAAAACATTCTCGGTTTGACGTTGACGTGACATCGAAATTGAATTTGTTGCATTAAACATTGCGTTTAACCCGTTTGACTGGGCTTCTTGCTCGCCGCTTTAATATTAAATGCCACTTTACTTTAGACCGTCATAAATAAATGCAAACATAAATATATCATAGTGTTTATTGGCACGTACTGTAAGCTTGTCCTCGTCGGCAAACAAATATCAATTTTATACATTTATCCTTATATCGAAAAACCCATAAATAATGCATCAAGGGAAAAGTTCACCAAAAAAACAAGAGGAAAAAAATCGAAAACAGGAAATTTATATTGGCATTAAAACAAATATGTAGATGAAATTATGACATCTCTCTGGTACTGCGAAATACATTTTACGAAAATGAAATTGTTAATCAGACAAGTGGAATATTTAGTAACCAATTACAAATTGAATGGCATTTATTTTAAGTTATTATATTGCATGAAAATACATGAAAAACTTAATTTAAATATCAAGCAGCACTTTAATATTATTAATTTACAGGAAATTACTTCTTTGAAGTTGAAATTAATTGAACTTTGCCGTCTGATGCCTAAAATAAAATGAAACCTAATGAATGAGCACATAAATTAAGCTAATTTATGCCACAAGCAAATTGGAAGTTGACAGCCAGATATATAAGGGACCAATCAATTTATTTATGCAAGTATCTATTACCAACTCCCTGGAAGTCTTGGCACGGAACAGCAGATCTGCTCGACAGATTCTATTTACGAGGGACTGGACTTGGCTGTGTAACGATTTCCGTTCTCTGCCTCCGAGAGACCATTAAACAAATGAACTAGAAGCAATAATCATAATAAGCCAGAGTAATGTAATCCACCACTGCTTCTAATGCACTGAGAAAAAAGATTTACGATTAATAAAGTTTGAAGAACTCTGCAGAAATCGTTAGACACTTAATTCCAACTTAAAAAGGTTAAAAACTCTTTTTCCGAAT